CTTCGTACTAAATTTTTGTTGTTGCTGTCATTATTTACACTAGTCGACTATCTTACAGACAACTTATGAGTCTTATAGGATCGCATATAATCTTATACTATCCTACTGGATATCTTACAGGATTTGTAAGATTTTATTTGTCTTACAAATCCTATAGGACCATAAGAAATCCTGTGATTACCCATAGGGTATCTTATTGGATTCGTAAGATTTTATTTGTCTTACAAATCCTATAAGATCATAAGAAATCCTTGATTATCCTGTAGGGTATCTTAAAGGATTCGTAAGATTTTCCATTTTTTTAATTTATTTTGAAAAATGAAAAACTTATCGGCGGTGGGTTTCGAAACCTGGATCACTAGACCATTAGTGCCTTACCACCTGTGCAACACAACATTATAAGTATGGAAATAAATAAAAATATATTATAATTACAAAATAATTAAAAACTATTTTTATTGAATGTATATAAATAAAAGTGTTGTAAAAAAATTAAATAATAACAAATAACTATATATATATATATATATATGTATATATATATATATATATATATATATATATATATATATATATATATATATATATATATATATATATATATATATATATATATATATATATATATATATATATATATATATATATATATATATATATATATATATATATATATATATATATATATATATATATATAAATAAAATGCCGCCAAGAACTGTTTCGCCGCCCGGGACAGCAACATGATTGGCGTTCTTAATTATCGAAATTCTCCTATATTATTGGTAAAGGACCTTTGTTCCAAGGTACCTTCATTCTATTTAGTGTCCCTTGGAAATCTGCCGCCCGGGACAATCTGTCCCTTACGTTAAAATTAAATTATCACCAAAAAAATCTAGTTGAATTAAAAATTTTTCTCGTAATCAGAGTGTACATTGAATTGCGTGACTTTCTGAGTAAATTGAGTCGTAGAGTGACGCGATTTAAATCATTAGGCATTATGAATTGCGGGAAAATAAATAGCAATCAAGTGCTATTTATTTTCCCGCAATTCATAATGCGCGTCACTAGCGCATTTAAATCACGTCATAAATCACAAAAATTAAGATATTAGATAAAAATTAATATATTAGATTCTCAAACAGCATGTTCATTATAATGAACATGCTGTTTTAGAATCTAATATAATTTTAATTTTTGTTAAAGAAATATATAAATAGTTGCTATACCATGATTATTTTATATTATGGATTTTATTAAAATTTTATAAACTTGGTAACATAAATATGCATAAATTTTGTTGTATTAATAATTATTATTGTATTTAAACTATACTCTAATTAATTTATAAAAATTAATAATAAAAATTGTTATATATTTTACATATATATATATATATATATATATATATATATATATATATATATATATATATATATATATTTTAAAGTATGAAAGTTTGTTGTATTTTTAACACGATACTATTAAATTTAAAATGTTTTAGAGAAAGCCTGAATACAACTCATGGAGAGGCTGATAGGTAGGTTTTTTAATTAGGGCATTTTTATGTAGGTAATGTTCTTGGGCAGCAGCTTTAAGGCTTACCTATTGTCTATAAGTTGTTGTTGTTGGGAGGGGGATATTTAGAAAATCATACTTCAGTGCTTGGGTTTTTATTAAATTTTCTATTTTTCTTAACCTATTTTGAAAATTTGGGATCAATTAGTTTAACTTGTTGGATCATGATCCAGATCCAAAAAAGTAGGATCTTGGACTAACAACTTCTCATACTTCATTTATTGAAATAATTATAAATATGTAAGTATAAAAAAAAGCTTCTTGGAAAATATGAAACTTCAGGATTACAATGAAAAGCCAGAATTCAAAATTTAAGTTTTTGACCAGTCATTCGTTTGACCGAATCGATCCATGGATTTGACTAATATTTTTTTTACTTAAATTTGCCTAAATATTTGGAGCAAGTAGCTAAAATTTCAAGTGGTTTTACTTTTTACTTAGTCATACTCTTTAAATAATTTAAAAATTTTTTCAGGGGGTAATAATCCCCCCTCCCTTGTGTCTGCGATGGGTTAAGGGGCGGGACGGGTTTTAAATTTTTAAATAATGATTAATTGCCTGATTTCTATGATTTTTTTTTATATATATTTATTTCTTATTATAGAACCACAGTTCCTGATGCAATAATACGAAATCTCAAAGAGCAACTCGCAACAGTTTTTGCCAATTACTCGTGGGCGTGCGTCAGACGAAGTCTTAATCAGAGCGGCCTAGATAGGAAGAAAAAACAAAAGTAATCAGCAATGCAATTGTGATTCTGTAATAATGATAATATGTGAAAAATTTCTTTTATACAGAATGATTTTTTTTTAATAAGAAAATGTTATTTCAAACTTTAACTTACCTATTATCAGTAATTAAAAAGAAGAATAGACATACTTTCCTTTCAATCAAAAAAAACACCTAACTTCGTATGTTCTTAGTTTGGTTATTAGATTTATGATATTAATTATAAAATAATAAATGTTATGGTTCCTATCATTGGCGTATTAGGACTTTTCAGGGCCCGGAGTCCTTTTTAACGTGCCACAGCATAAAAATGACTAAAACAGTAGAAAAAGAAAAAGGTCCGCTTAATAATTTCGGAATCCCGAAATTTTAGGGCCCTAACCCCCTCCTCTTTAATCTATCACTGGTTCCTATAGGAACCAGTTCTGGATTAAGGGGGAGGGCTAGGGCCGTATATATACGAATCTAAAATTTTCCTTCAGCATCCTATAAGAATCCTGTTAATCCTGTAAGATCTTTTAAAATATTTTTGTAGATCTTATATTATCTTATAAGAATTCCTTCAAATCCTACAAGATCCTTCAAAAGATTCTTGTAAGTCCTGCAGGGACTTGTGCATCTCATCCTATAGGATTCTTGTAGGATTTGTAAAATCAGTCGTCTAGTGTACCAAACTTTTGTTGCTGCTGATATTGTCTTTATTAATGAAATTATCCTTTTATTATTATATTAACTGTTATCATTATTGTTATTATTATTGTTAATATTGTTGCTGTTGTTGGTGTTGTTATTGTTATTATTATAACTATTATTATTGCTATTATTGCTATTATTGTTATTATTTTTATTTTTATTATTGTTATTATTATTATTAGTAGTAGTATTAGTATTATTGATATCAATTATTATTACTATTTTCATCATTGTCTATAACGTTATGTTGTATGTTCAGGTGTTTACTTTATATTAGTACTTGTACTATTGTGAATTTCCTTGAAATGTTATAACTTATTTCGAAATATATTTGATTTGATTTGTGCAATTAAAAAGTATTTTTATAACACAACTCATCAAATTCTTTTGTTGACCTCTTTTTGCTGATTCATTTATTAAACTCTTTTGGATTGCTGATGAACTAAATCATTTGTTTTCAAAACTGGATTAAGTCAAACTTGATTTTCACTATAAAATTTCTTTTTTCGATATGATCTATGCCGTAATGTTACATACTTCGCAAGAGTTAGTTTTAATCTCTTTCTAAATTAATTTTTTTGTCTTCTCTGACTTAAATCCTTAAGGATTCAAGTAAATATGACAAAATGAATATCAGAATTAATTGTCAAAATTTAAACCAACTATCTACATCACCAATATTATTCGAAACCTAAAAACATTGTTGTTCACAACAAAGAATAAAAAAAAAAAAAATTTTAACAACATTAACAAGTTTTTTCAATTTTCGGTCGATCAGTGACATCAAGCAAACACTTTAGAATAATTTTTTTTTAATTCATTACGAACTTTAAAGCCATAAACACTTGAAATTAAAATAAAAAATAATTTTTTTCTTTTAAAGGAAAATACAAAAACAAATTTACTTTAGTTTTTCATGCCTTAAACTAGTTTTTTTTGTTTTGTTTTAATAGTAATAAATGAAAAAAATTTTTTTATTAGTCAATTTTATTTGTTTAAAAAATCATCATCTTTTCAAAAATATTTAGCGCTCAAGATTGCGGATGATCGTAGCCACACTTCTTCTAATCACAAATGATCGCAGCCTCACTTTGCAGAGTAGTTAGCAGACATTAACTAAATATAGACTAAAGATAGAACATTAACTAAAGATAAAACGATTTTTTAATTCTCCATCAAAGTTGTAATTTAGTACATTGGTAATGAATTTTTTACTTTTTAATGCACAAAAATTGTAGTACCAATTTTGTTACACCAAAAGTTTAACATTTTTTAAAAAAAATTTTTAATTTTAATTTTTAACAGCCTCTATTATAGCCTTTCTAATGATGAATATATTATCGGTTTTTTGCTTATGGTCAATTTCTAGACGCATTACATCATATTTTGCATACGTTGCGTTTTCTAATTTAAAAATGGTTTTGTAGTACTTGAGCTTAAAATTATTTTATTCTGTTGCATATCAATTTTCTGTCGTTTGGAGGTCTGGGGCTAAACTGCTGTCTGGGGCTAACCGTTTTCTCTAGATATTATTAATAATTTGTTTTTTATACATCAAACTTATTAATATGTCAGCAGATCATTATCAAATGATGGTCGATAAATCAATATAAAATAGTCAGGGACTACTAAAACAACGGGACGCGAAACTCTAATTTCATGTAGTTTTGACGACAGGGCCGATGAAAAAAAAAGCGAAACACTTCTATTATTAAACAAAAATATAATTATGAATAGAAATTTAATAAAAAAATGTTATGACTCAATTATTTATCACTATTTTCAAACAAAAATTAAATTGTGTTAAGTGTTAAAAATAAAACAACTTTTTACAAAGAAACTGTAAATTATCCGTAAATTAGCTGTAAATAATTATTTTTAAAGACAATGTTAATAAACTAATTAATCACTACTTATCATACTATATTTTATTCATATCATAATAATAAATATATAATTATAAACAAATTTTAAACTATATAAATATAAAGCCATAAATACATTTCAAAACGTTATTAATTATATCACCAACGTCGTAACACCTTTTAAGAAACAGTTATTATTGAGATAACTTTTAAAATACCTATACTGTCTGTTTCTAAATCAAATAGTAATGTTGAATGCAAGAATAAAAATAATTTCTTTAAATAAACAACACATTGAAAACGTTTTTCAGACATTGGAACGCTGTTAAACAGTAGATAACAAACACAAATAAACTGGAGAAGAGTATCACCAGGATAACGCTATTTACCACGTGAAACATAATCTGTAAATTCAGAACTAGCTGATTGTGATGTTGTTGTATCAACTATACGCTGCGGATCGATCTTGTGCTGTACATAACCAGCCATATAAAAAGGGCAGCATTCTCCTGATCATTAATAGATTCATTGTCTGCATTAATTAAACATTCATCTAAATAAATAATATCCACTTCCATTAGATCCATTGTGCAACAGTCTGAATGTATGCGTGAGCAATGAATGTCAGTTTCATCCAAAGAAACTATTTTGCTGAATAATTTTAACCGCTGAAGGTGCAAACTGTTCAATACTTGTTCTGCTGAGATAAAATAATTTCCGCCACTTAGTTGTCTACAAATAAGCAAAAAAATTGCAAAAAGATATAACCAAATAAATTGAGTTGAACCGAGTATTAAATTATAGTTAAAACAGCAATTGTCAAAAAAAAAGGCATCAATAAACTTATGTATGTTAAAAAATCTTCTGAAAGCAGTTTTTTTATTAATTCTATCAATCCTTGTAGGGTGTTAACTAAAGCATGTTTTGTTTCTGGCGTAAAAGTATTATGACGCTTTAATCCCTTCCCCTCTGACATCTTAGAAGTTGCATCAGCAAATGCTAAAATTACTTTAAATCTAAGGTCATCGAGTGTCTGGAAAGGAGACCTATTGATATCATTAAGTAAAACATCACAACCTTTCCTCTTTACATTTAGCATGTTCCATAATGAAACAATTGGTGCTAAAAAACAGGCAGTGTTCTCAAAATTAACTAATCTCAATGCTGCAACAGTTTTTTCATTAAATACAGCAACCATGTTTGCAACATTTTGTCTATCAATCAAACTAGGGTACACTGACTTGCGTGAAAGCTTTGTAGTTTTGGCAACACAAGTTTTTTGTCTGTTATATAATTGAACAATGTGAGACCAATCACCAGAGAGAGGTTGATTATTAATTTTTAAACTAATTGTTTGTGTTTTTTCCGTAAACCAATTATTTCTTATACTTTTAAACAAGTGAACTGGATCGTGTAGCATAATAACTGGTTTTTCTTTTTCTATAACACCTTGCCATGAAAAACTTTTATTAACAACGAAATTTTGGTAAACACTTTGATTTGTTGTTTCAGGTAGACATGATCGAGAAACGTCAAACAATATGACTTTTGAATTTTCAATGAATGCAAAGTATTGAGGATATCTAAAATAGATTTAATAACAAGTAAACTTTAAATCAAAACAAACAAATATCATAAAACGAGGAGAAAAATTTAATTTTACCTTTCTTTTATTTCAGACAACATTATTTCAACATCATAAAATCTAATTAAATCAATTTGATTGAAACCATCCAATTCATCAGGTATTGCATTTCATGATGTTAAAGAAATTTTATTTATATTTGTAGATCTTGGTTGTGTTGAGACTGTTTGGCGGACCATTGAAGATGTGCATCCAGGAAAAATAGATGGGGGATCAACAGGAACCTAAAAAAGATATTATTAAAATTAGTCATTGTAAAACTTATCAATAAAAACAACTTTAAGGATACTTACCTCAAACTTTGATTGACGAGGCTTGTGCATTTTGCAGCCTGGTGGCCAGTGTTTTTCACACTCACCCATATTTGAAGTTACTTTTTCAAACGCATTTGGAATAGATGACAACCAATATTGTAACTTTTGTGTGTCACTTGGAAACATGTAAACATGAAGCTTTTCTTCTGAAGTTGATGTTAAATAATTTGTGGTACAATTAACTATTGAACATTTTCTTGGCATGATTATAACTAATAATAGTAACACCATTATTATTTATTATAAATATGACATAACATTTTGTAACACTTAATAGATTCATTACTTAAAATAAATTACTCAAATTAAAAACTACTTAATACAATTTTTTAATCTTACTACTTTCAAAAAATAAAAAACTTTTGATTTTTCAATAAAAATAGCAACTTTTATCAAAAAAAAAAAAAAGGCTTTTTTTTTTAAAATGTTGTAAATATCTCCCAATATTTCTATTGCATTAACCTATATTTTATCAGTACGATACTGATGAAAAATATATAAATTATATTAGTAATATAAATTTGTATCACTTTAATGTATTCTAAAATGTGAATATATTTGTAAATTTTTCATAACTTCTTTGCTAAATCAAACTAGCATCGCTATTTACAATCGGCCCTGTCGTCGTTTTAGCATCGATTTGAAGTTTCGCGTCCCGTTTATTTAGTAGTCCCTGAAAATAGTTTTTTATCTTGGCGTGTTTGTTAAGTTGTCATAAATGATAAATTAAAGATTAAAAACTCTAAATACATTTTAAAGCCATTTAAAAACCAAACCTCAATTTTATAAATTATATATAACAATTGATGACATAGCGCTCTCGTTCGTGGAGAAATTAAAAGCATCCTAAAGTATTTTTATAAATATTATTATTGTAAATATTTTTTTTATTAATAAGAATTTTTATTAATATTATAAATATATAAATTTCCTTTAATAATAATTATTATTTGTTATTATTTTTTTATTAAAAATGCTACTTAAACTCTCACCATTTAAAAAAAAATTAAAGCATTAAATTAATAATTCCGAATTACCACAAATATATTAAGTAAAAAGTCTTTTTTTGTGTCACTATACACCAGTTTGAGCCGCGTTACGGAGAATTAAAAGAAAAGACTGGATAGAGTTTATAAGTGAAACAAATCAAGTCGTAAAATTTAATTCTTGAGTAAACGAAGTATAAACAAACGACTAAAACAAATCCTATCACTATTAAAACAAATATACAACATATATAAATCAAAATGGATTATGATACAGTGTGTAGTATGAAGGTTGAAGAACTGAAGTCTTATTTACGTCTTCGTGGCTTTAAAATATCTGGAAAGAAAGAAATTCTTGCAGCTCGAGTCTATTGAGCAATGGAAAACAATGTTACGCCTATTAAAACAGCTGAAGAGGTGGATCATGATATACTTACTAAGTACAAAATAAAACTTTTTATAAATGGTGAACTACCTGATCCTTTTAAGCTTAGTAATGGTTGGTTATCAAAAGATGAAGGTCTAACTTGTTGGCCAACATTGTTATATACTGATATTTACAATTATTTGTTATTTAACCCTGCTGAAATTGCAAGTAAAGACTTAAGTGACTACAAAACGTGTAAAGCTTATAGTTATTTTAAATGTGGCTGGCTTGAACCTTTATTTTACCATCAAATAGGAATAGAGAGTGAATATTGCTATTTAAAAGGGAACTGTAGGAAATCTAAAAAAATTAATGATCCCTTTCACAAACTATGGATTATTATTAATAAAAAAACTGCTAAAATAATTTCAGCACATTGCACTTGTCTAGCTGGCCTATCGCAGACATGCAATCATGTTGCTGCAAACCTCTTTCGAATAGAAGCTGCTATGGTTTGAAATGGTTTGAAAAATGTAGCTTGTACTAGTTCAAAATCAGAGTTGCTTCCAAATCGTAGCATAGTAGCACCAACAAAAATATGTGACTTAAAATTTGATTGTGATGAATTTGGTCAGCGTGGAAGAAAAAAGCGTTCACTAGTATCAAATGAAAAGCGTAATTACAGCCCATTAGTAAACTGTGATATAAAGCTTTTAAATTTAACAGACATAGCAAAAGCCATCGAAACTGTTGCTCCCTATAGCATTATAACTTCTGCTGTACCTAAACCTGAAATTTATTATATGGAAGAATTAATTGTGTTTGAAAATGTTACCAAACCTACAATTTTGACTATGGATGATATTATTGTTATGTCAGACAATAAATTTTCTTTTTGTGAAAATATAAAAACAAATATGACTCAAAAAATAATTACTGATATAGAGCGTCTGACTATGGGTCAAAACACAAATAAGCTTTGGTTTAATTTTCGAAAGCGAGTTATAACTGCTTCAAAAGCTCACGATGTTCTAAAAAAAATTAAAAAAATTAATATGGGCATTAAAGTTGACATGTGGTCATTACACCAAAGTATTTCAGGGTTAACTTTTGTGAACCCAGATATACCTGCATTAAAGTACGGGAGAGCAATGGAAGTTGAAGCAGCATGCCAGTTTTTTGAAGTTATGAAATCCTTTCATCAAAATTTAACTGCAAATGAATGTGGATTATTTTTAGATGTAGAAATGCCCTATATAGGTGGAAGCCCTGATAGAATTGTTTGTGTTGCCCGCCAGCTTGTTTAGAAATAAAATGTCCATTTTCTATAAACCATACATCACCACAAGATCCTAATATATCTCTTCCTTATATTACAAAAAAGTTAAATGAAAAATTTGTCATTAACAAAAAGCATAGATACTATACTCAATGTCAGGTTCAAATGGGGACTGCTAAGATGATTAATTGTTATTTTATGGTATGGACAGCTCATGGTTATATAATTGATAAAATTGCATTTGATGAAGCTGTTTGGTTGAGTATGAAAGTTGAATTTTTTAAGTATTACAACGATTATTACTTAAATACTGTCTTTGTAGATTAACTGATTGGATTAAAATTATGAAAATGAAAATCTGTGTTTTAAATTATAAAACCCTTCTTATATTTTAATTGGCGTTTATAAATTTTTTTTCCTATAAAAGAAGACAATAAGATCCAAATAATGGTGTAACAATATTTAAGTAAAGGTACTCAAAATCAAAAAGTTTATCCACGCCTCTTATTATAGTAAAAAGAAGTCATAAAATGAAACACATGTATTCATTAAAAGTGCACGGTGGTGTCCGGCATCCCTTACAAGTAATTAAAAAATAAAAATTAAAAAAACAACCTCAGTAATTAAATAAAAAAATACAATCTCAGTACTATCATGTGTTTAATACAAGAAGGGGAGGAAGTTTAGTATTTTTCCAAAAGTTTTCCCACCCACAAATGTTTATTAAGATCACCCCCCCTCCCATTTATTAACACCAAAAATTAAAAAAATCTCTTTAATCTTTGTTGAAAATAATGTTTTGATTTTAATAAAATAAGCTTTTCCTCACTTTATACAAGAAAACTAAATCCTATTGTAATTATAAAACAGTTGTTAAAGATGCACAGTTGACCACAATCTACACTAACTTAAATTGATTTATGCATGTTCTGTAAAAAAAAAAAAAGCCAACCCTTAAATTAAGATTCCCCTATTTATAAAATAAAATTTACACCCTTCCTTGTATTAAGCATTTAAGAGTAGTACTAAATTAAAAAATATATATACATTTTAAACAAATTTAAACAATTTTTTTTATTAAAGCAGGCTTTAAACTGCACAAAGCTGCACACGATAAAATAATATCATCCATATGATGAAGCATTGAAATAGGTAATACATTTTTTAAAATTCGAAAGGTTTTTATTCTGTTTATAGCCCTTTCTATGTGAATTTTTAAGTTAGCAACATCAGTAGTCTTCTTACATTCACTTGCAGTCATTTGACTTTTTACTCTTGCACCTGGTGGGACTGATAAGCTGCAATAACGAAATAATAGTTCTTCTCTTATTTGAAATCCTCTGTCTGCCATCACCTCATTGTCTCTTTCCAACAGATCATAAAAGCCACTGTCACTTGTAATAAATTTATCTGATGCTCTGCCACCATAACATTTGGATAGAAACGTTATGTATCCATTTGGTGCTATACCAATTAACACTTTCACAGTGTTGTGATGCTTATAATCAGACCAAGTCACTGCTTTGTTGTAAAGGGACTTTGGACGTTCAATAAATATTTCAAAACAATCAAGAATCACTCTACACTTGTGATGCTTTGCTTTCACAAAAGACTGTGGCAAGTTTTTTTTTATGACTTTACTTGGCAGCCAAACAATAATAGCTTGTCCAAGAATATTAGCAATAATTCTAATAAAAGTTGTAAAAGTATTAGAACACAAAGACTTTGAAATCAGCCATATCTTCATTTAATAAACCTAAGCGCAACCGCATAAGTGTCATTAAAAGTTCTTATCTGTGTGATAACAGTTTACATACAGATTTGAGTTGCTTAACTTTGCTATGTGAATATTTTGGGCCTCTCCAATAACGAATTGAGGGTAAAAATGGTTTCAATAAATCAAAAATAACGTTAAAAATAGCTATGGAAGATATACCAGTATAAAAGTTCATTTTCTTATCATTGTTAACTAATCTCCAAGAGAATTTTTATTTAGACTTGACTGTTTGTTTTATTTTTAACTTTTTTAATTGATTAGTAAGGCTATTTACTTTATTCACGTAAGAGGTGATAAGTGAAGATTTGTATTCACATGAAGTACATTTATTAGGCAGTGGTAAACTCATTGAATAGGTATGGTCTGATAATATAGGTGGCAAAACATCTGCATTAAAACTAACACTTGGAAACTTGGTGACAATACTTTTTTCAGTCAACAAAGGTTCTACAGGCTGCATTTTATTAGAACAATGTAAAGAAGTGATTGGGTGCTTTAATAATGTTCTTCTAGCTTTTTTTTTGTACAGGTTGATCAAAACCCATATTTATTGTTGGATTAGGGTTCATAACAGTTGGTATTTTATCAACAAAATGATCAGAGCATACTCTATCAGCAGTTCCAGGTTTCCATGCACTTCCTTTCTTCTTTCCTTCTCGTCTAAGCTGACTAATCCAGTGTTTTCTTTTTTCGCTATTTCTCTTTAAACTTGGGAAACAAAACATTCGGAATGGTAACTCACATGCACACTCGGATAATATCTTCCCTTCGTGTTGAAAACACGTTTTATTTTTCAGTTTTTCTAGCTTATAGGAACTATTGGTACATCCTATAACAGCACAATTAACTTTCATCTTATCACTATATATTTTGTGAGAAAATAAATATTTACCCTTCTAAATTCGTTCCAGGACTTTTTTTTGCGCGATATTAATAATGGCAGAACTTCGCTTGAACTGGTGGTGTGTTGTGTAAACATAAATGATTTATTAACAAATGGCTTTGGATGAAAATAATACAACGTAAATTTTTATATATAAAAACGAAGTGTATGGAACGTCTGAACACATAAAATATATTTACGAAAAATGTATTATGGATAACTATTATTGTTTGTTTACTAGTGGTAACTTTCCTGATTAACTATATTTCAGAATTAAAAAACCAAAAGGCGAAAATTTTATTTAGAACTTTACACAACAAAAGCGTTATTTAGATTTTTATACTGAGAAACAAATTGAACCAAAAACCTTTTCTCTTACTCATTGTTCAAAAAACCAACCTCTTATTCATTGTTCAAAAAACCAACCTTTTCTCTTACTCATTGTTCAAAAATAACTGGGATAGATGCAAGAAAAATGTTAAATATGTTGCAAAAGATGCAACAAACAATAGCCTATATAAAAACTGGACAGTTTGAATTTATCACGATAACGCCATTGTTACAAGTTTACTTGAGCTTTATCAACAAAAAATTATTAATGTTAGTAACTTTATCTAAGCAGCATTAACAGAATGGCGTGGAAGTTGTTATCATTTGCAGATTCAACTATAGATGTTATGTGTATTAGAGATTTAGACTTTAAGAAAGAGTAAAATTGTAAAATTTTGAAAAATTTTGAAAGATTATCCCCAAGATGAAAGATTTTCCCCAACATGAAAGATTATCCCCAAATTGAAAGATTATCCCAACGTGAACTATGGAGATAAAAAAGAATGTTCTAAAACGCAATGTTTGGTCGCTTGTTCCCCAGAATGCATTAATACAGGATTCTTATTTCTGCAAGAGTGACAATATAAGTGAATCTTTACCTCAAAAAGAGCCGTAAATGGAGACATTGTTTAACAAACTAACGGCACATCTGGAACACTTGTTAAGTGTCTAATTTAATGACGTCTAAAAAAACATCAAGATTGGAAGTGCTGTTAATAATATAAAAATTAATTTGATATATGCAACTAGAGCATAAACAATAACTTTAAATGTTGTTAAGTGAAAAAAGAAATAATAATCAGACCTTGATTAGATTTCATGAATATGTTATGATATGAATAAGTTATGTTAGTATTTTATGTTTTATTTTATTTCATCTTTGTTCTTATTCTTTCAAGTATTATAAATTTATATGGATAAACTTTATTTTATACGTAATTTATACGTATACACTAAACAAAAAGTATAAAGATAGATAAAATCTATATTTAAGAAAGAAAATTGTACAACAAATCATTGCTTTTAATATAATTTTCTACCTTAAAAGGTATAAAAATATATCTTACTATAGGTATATCACATATCCTACCTTACGGTAGAAATTTCTACCTTTTTTTTAAAATACAATCAAATATCCGATGCTGCTAAAACTTAAATATTTAAAAAAATAACACAAAATCTTTTTTTATTTTTGAATTTTATGTTAGCTTTGGTCATAAATAAAAAAATTGAAATTAAAAACTACTGTAAATATTTGAATCGAATATTATTATGATATTTATGAGAGCTACCGCTTTAAAATATTTTTCAGAACGGTAGCTCTCTATGCACAGTCAGATCATTCCACTGAAATAGGTGGCCAAAAAGTATTTTTATTTATGTGCATATTAAGCTTTAAGATATTAAAACTTTAAATATTAAATTGGTGTTGTAGTTGGTACATTTGTTTCAAGTCACTTTTTTGATTATTGTGATTTCCAAATGTCAACTTAAGTCAACTTATTGATATTTGTAATTTCTCACTGTGCGTTGGTGTAGTTGGTACAGTTGTAGTAAGTCAACATATTGTTGTTTGTGATTTCTCACCGTGTGTTGGTGAAGTTGGTACAATTAGGTACAAATAGGTAGAATTATAGTCGCTAAATACGCAAAACAATGGTTTTGAAGTATGCACAATTTTTGAGGGTAATACATCTCGAAGGTATTTTATGTTTTCAAAAATGCAATGTCTGTGATGCTTTGAAAGAAAAAGATTTCTGGCACAACTTTTAATAAGAAAACCGTTTTTATTAGGAAATGTGCAGTGATAAACCATATAAAACTCAGTAACCCATAAAATTTAGAGTTTTTTTTAAATTTATAAAATACTCCTATTTAATGCACGAAAGCACTAAAGTGTTAACAATCCATTAAAAAAAAATTAAAAAAAGTTTGATCACAAAGATAAAAATTCAAATCTTTTGATAAATTTCAATCTAATTTAAAAATTACAAAAATGTTTTAGAGGAAATTCTTTAATCTCATTGCTTTGTTTTTTTGCTGCTTCTTTTTTTTTTCTTTTTAAATCAATTTGAGTTATTTCAATTTTCCTTAATTTATTAATAGTTCAACCAATGAAAGATAAAACATTTGTGGCTGGTTTTCAAACTTCTTTCAATATCAAGTTATCACATACTCAGCCTACCCCTTTTTGTTTTTGAATGTCTCAATGAACTTCAGTAATTCATTATCGTTATAACTACATCATCATATTTTATTATGAGGATTTTGGTAGCAGCGTTTTTCTTTTTTTTAAATCTTTTATTTTATATTCGTCAATTCACTTCACAGAGTTGAAAAACACAAAAAGAAAAAGAATAAACAAATAAATTAAACAACTATAAAGTAATTTTTATTAAACTTGTTATTTTTTTATAATTAAAAAAATATCTTTCTGTTTCTCCTTTTACACCTTGCGTCACACTTTAACTGATAAAACGCCACCACCTAGCTAATAATACAAAAAAGTATAAGAGTAGAAAAAGTATTTAATGGTCAATCTTAATTGTTAATCAAAAGTGTGAACTAATCTATTGGTATCTGATAAAAGTAAATCATTTGTCATAACCAATTAATCATATAGTAATTTTGTTTATGACAATAACAACAAAATAATAACAGTGACGATATCACTGTGATGGACGTCACAGCAAAAACAAGTTAACGCAACTAGTGTCAACAACTCAACAGCGGTCTATAAAAAAAGTTAACGTTTACAGTTATTTAACTCAGAATTTATTTTAAACCTCTAGGTATCAAATCATACACACAACTTACAAAGTTAGTTCGTTGATCGAGTTTACTATGTCTTTTTTATCTTTTATTGGTATACGCATGTTAAATTGATTACGCCTTAGCAAGAGATTAATTAATATTGGATTAACTTTATTTATAGTAATCCTAACAATTTTCGATTAAATATTACAATTTTTATGCGTCAAGTAGCAAACATCGACTTAAACTTAATTGCTTCAAATAATTTATACACAATCTAAAACAAGTATTTAAATAATGAAATCGATAAAAAAAGATAACAAACGATTGCTTAAATAAATAAAAACTATGTTAAACAAAATTAGGCGATTCACTTTACTTTTTAACAAAATATCCGTGTCGCAAAACATAATTTTTTTCTATTTATTATGCATAATAACTTTTTGAAAATGTTGTCAATTAAGCTATAACACAAAATTTTGGTTTAAAGTAACCATAGAGATTGGTAATTCTTTTTTTTTCCATGTGTCAAAATTGAATTATACTAGATATCTGTTTCCGAAATAAATAAAAAAATTGTATAAAAGGGAAGATAAATGAATTTATGTTTACGTGAAACATAAGTTTGACTTAAGTATAATTTGGGAAAATGCATTATCAAAGTATTCCTACAAAAATACAGGTGACTTGTTTTTCAAATTACTTACTTTATAGTTTTCATTATTGTTATATATATATATATATATATATATATATATATATATATATATATATATATATATATATATATATATATATATATATATATATATATATATATATATATATATATATATATATATCGATGGTTAAGAGCACAAAGGGAATATGTCCACCATTTTACGGTTTTGAGTTATTGCGCGCGCGCCATTCAGTAAGTGATAAGGGTACTATGGTACAAATATCAAGCTTCAACAGTCGACCAATCGGAAGATGCATTTGGTTAAAAATCATGACAATAAAT